GAAGAGGATTGTTTGGTCACCTCCGGAAAGCCCAGGAATGAAATCTACAGGTTAACCTGGATGGCGTTCGAACTGAAATGACCTCGTGGAGTGCGCAAACATGAAGTCCCTTCCTGTTATTTATGGCTCAGTCATTTCAGTTGTATCTGACTCTCTGTGACCCCATTTGGGGTTTTCCTGACAGAGATACTGGAGTGGTTTGCCATTTCCTTCTCCAGCTCATTTTACAGATGAAGAAACTTGGGCAGACAGGGTGAAGGGACTTGCCCAGGGTCACATAGCTAGGAAGTGTCTGAATCAGACTGGAACTCAGGAAGATAAATTTTCCTGACTCCTGAGCCTGGTGGCTCTATCCACTGCACCACCTGCTGCCCTCTTCCTAGGGGTGCCCAATAAATATTCTCCCACATTTCCTTGCTCATTTCCTCCTCTCCACTCACATGGGAACCACCCTTGTTTTGGCCCTCACTCCCTGTCACCTGCACTGTCACAGTAGCCTCCACATGGGCCTCCCTGCCTCCAGTCCCTTCTCCCCCATTCCACCTTCCAAAGGGAGGCCGGATATACTCTGCTCAAAAAGCTTTATTGAAACTCTCTTGCCTTAACACACAAGCTCCTCTGCCTGACTTCTAAATCCCTTCCCAACCTGTCTCCAGCTGCCCTTGCCACAGTCAAGTCAACGTGCATTTATTAAGCACCTCCTGTGGCCAGGCACTGAGCTAAGTGCTGGAGACACAAAGAAAGGTAAGGGCGGTAGAAGAGCGGAGGGAGGCTCGCCCCCCCCCCCCCGTGCCCGGAGCTAGCAAGCAGCACAGCAGCCAGCAGGATCTGAACCCCCATACACGGATTCTAAAAGCTCAGTTCTTCATACTAGCCTCTTGGGGGTGAATGAGCGACTAGGTGCCTGCATCATCGTTACTAGAGGCCTTTCTCATCATTTCCAGGCTTTTCCCAGAGTTTGGGAGCTGCTAAGTGGGAGAGTAATCTTGAAGAGATTTAAGAAGAGAAATATCTGGGACACCGCCTGACTCATCCCCTCCCATTCCATGCCTTCGCTCTGCGGCCTCAAGGCACTGGCGTTTCCCGGATTTCCCCACTAGAGGGCGCCGCCTCCGCGCCCGCCCAGATCTTGAACAATAGGTGAAGCCGCAGGCAGCGATTGTTACAAAGTAACTCTTGCTCAGGCACGGAGAATTCCCGAGGCTGGCCGGCTGCCTGGTCGTCGTCTGTCCGCCCGCCCGGCCGTCTGTCCATCTGGCCTTGGAGGAGTCGGGAAGGGCTCGCGCCCTGCCTGGTCTGCTTTACAGCGGCTGCCCAGGCAGAGCCAGCCGGCCAGCGCCCCGCGCTCCCCGAGTTGGGGGGGGGGGGTGTCGTGTGGCTGTGCCTGTGGTCGTGACCGTGGACGTGGCCGAGCCCGCGCCCCCGGCGCGCTGAGCCAGGCGGGCCAGGTTGAGCTGCAGGACGACCGGGAGCCGCCCGGGGCTGCGGCTGCCCCCGCCTCCTCCAAGCCCTCGGACCCCAGCCGCGCGGAGGAGGATCTGGGCCGCGGAAACGCCCTGGCAGCGCGGCTGGGATGGCCCCCGCACCTCCCACACCGCCCCCGCCTCCTGTCCTCGGGGACTGGGACTACCTAGCCAACTGCTTCGCTCATGACCGAGTGTGCTCTCCTTTGGCCTGTGGCTGCTGGCTTCCCTGCTCTGGATCGCCGCCCACGTCTTGTAAATGTGCTGGGGGAGAGAGGAAGGGGGGCGGAGGCTCTGGTGGGGGGGGCGCGGAGAGGGGGTACTGGTGTCCCATGGGTGGGGGTTGGTGGAGAGGGTTGCTGCTGCTGAGGAGGGAGCAGAGGCTTTGTGGTCCGGCGCAAAGGGTCAGAGGACCTGGGTTCGAATCCGAAGTCTGCCTCTTATTGCCTGTGCGACTCCGGGTCAAGTCAGACCCAGTCTCGGGCACTTTTCTCTCCTGAAAGACGAGGGGGGAGAGGGTGGACTAAATGTTCTCCAAGGGACGTTCTCCATCCGGCTCAGGACTGGTCCTAAGGCGAGTGTAAGCCAGCTCTCCCAGCTGGAAAGCGGATGCGACAAGGGGAGGGAACGGGAAATTGGGCTCCCCTGGTCCCCAAACAGCCTTGAGCTCACTAGAAGCCCGAGAGAGCAAAGTGAAGAGCCGGGACTGGAGGGGAACACCTACGAGGCTCTTGGTAAGGTGGAAAGCAGGTGGGATCTGGGGTCAAGGGCCCTGGGTTCGAATCCCAGATCTGCTGCTTATTCCCTCTGTGACCTTGGGCATACCCCTGTAACCTGCCTGGGTCTCAGTTTCTTTCTCTGAAGTCGGACCTTCAAGAGCCCAAGTGGATGATCCTTTAACTCATTCCTCCCGTGCAGACACTGTTTTCAGGGGAAAATTCAACTGGAAAATCAAGGGGGAAGAAAAGGAAGCAAAGGGGGACCAGCCCCCCAGGCCTGTCCCTTCTTTCATCCCCTAGAGATAACCTTGATTGTGAGAGGGGATGAACCTTAAAGTACAACATGCCCCCCACCTCCCTGTCACTTTAAAGAGCAGGAAACAGACTTAGAGGTGGCAAGGGACTTAGCCAAGGCCTCCCTGCTGGGAAGTACCAGGGTTCCTGACCCTATTCCCAGCCTGGCCTTCTCCTCCTTGGGATTTAGACAGAGGAGGTGAGAACCAAACCAGACCGGCACATTTAGTATCTGTCCCAGGCCCTGCTCTCCTTGTCCAGCCTTGGACATGTGAGGCCCTTGAGGGGAAAACTGAATTAAAATAGCCTCCGAGGTGTGGGGGAGCCCCAAAAATAGCACCCACATTTGCCCACTTGGTCTAGAGACAAGTGGAATGAATGGCCCTAGAAGGCAGGGGCCTTGGCCAGCCGTCAGAGCTGCCCATGTTTGAGGGACTCCGCCTGCTGGACTTTGGGGGCAGGGCAGCTCTTGAGGACTGCTGTGTGCCTGCTGCCCACTGAGCTCACATTCCATATATACTTTATCCTGATTTTTGACAAGTCTTTAACTGTGGTTTCTGATGCCACAGGAGAGGGGAGCAGAATGACCTGAGGTGCCAGCAGAGACAGTGTAAGCTAGTGGGAGACCTGGCACCTTATCCAGGCCTGGCCCTAATGAGCTCAGTGAACCTGGGCAACTCACTTTTCTGGGCCTCAGTTTCTCATCTCTAACTCTGGAAAGGTGGGCTGACTTTTGAGTTGAGGCCGGGAGCTCCTCACTCCTTATGTGACCATGGCCACTGCCTTCCCCTCTCTGGGCCTCAGTTGCTTCATCTGTAAAATGAAGGGTTTGGATGAAATGGCCTCTGAGGTCCTGTCTGTGACAGGTAACTAAGTCTGGGCCAGGTCACTGTCCAGACTGACTGATTGAGAGGAACTGACCAGGTTCAGGACTGGCAGGAGCTCTGTGCAGAACTGGGGAATGAAGACTGGCAGACTTGGCCACTCACTCCTGCCCCTTCTGCCTTCTCATTGCCCAGCCCCCCTCCCTTGACCCCTCAAGTAACCGGGGTCTTCAATTCTCTCTTGACGGTCTAGCTCACAAGAACCTGCAAGAGATAGATTCAGCATGAAGGTGATATAAAAATAAAAATCAGAACAAGATTAAAAATAAAAAGAGAAAGCAATTGGGATTCGTTAGTCAGTAAACATGTGTAATGGGCCTGCTGTGTGCCGGGGCCTCCTGGGCTGAACAGTCCCTGCCCTGAAGGAGCAGCAGGCACCCACAAGCCGCATTCAGGATAGCTTGGAGCTGATCCACAGAGAGGGAGGCACCAGGATTAGGGCGGGTTGGTGGGGAAAGGCTTCCTGTAGTAGGCAGGACTTTAGCTGGGCCTTAGGGGAAACCAGAGAAGCCAGGAGGCAGAAATGAGGAGGGAGAGCCTTCCAGCAGAGGGGAGACACTGAAAATGCCCAGACTCTGGGTGTTCCTTAACACTGAGCATTCAGTGATTGCCCCCTGCTGAGCACGTTTATGGTGCCTTCCTCTGAGATTACTTCCCCTCTCCCCTGTCCATAGCTTAACTGTGCCTGCTTGTTGGCATGGTGTCTCTAGCAATAGGGTGCATTTATCTATCTCCCACCCCCGTGCCAGCACATTACAACTATTCCCTCGTTTTATCCTGGCAACAAGTCTGGGAAGTGGGTGCTACTGTTATCCCCATTTTACAGGTGAGGGAACAGTTGAGGCAAACAAGGTAAAGTGACTGGTCCAGGGTCACCCAGCTAGGAAGTGTGTGAGGCCAGATTTGACCTGAGGTTTTCCTGACCGCAGGACCCGCAACCCTGGGCACTAGGGCACTTTGTGGGCCAGGACACTTTCTACCTTTCTTTGTATTCTCAATGTTTAACAGAGTATCCAGCACACAGTACGCACTTCATAGATGCTTGTTGACTTGGCTTGAACACCTATGTCCCCTGGAGGTCCAGGGGAGGGAGGTGACTTTCCCCGGTCACAAAGGTAGTGTGTGAAGCACCAGGATTCAAACCCAGGACCCTGACTCAAAGCCCAGCGGTCTTTTTGCTGACTCAAGTGCCTTGTCATTTTCACAGGAACCAAAGCCTTAATCCAGCTAAAATAATGATGTTCCTAGGATGCTTTTAGAAAAGGGAGGGGGAAGATGGGAGTTCACTCGTATTAATCAGTAAGCAGCGTGCTCAGTCTGTCTGTTAGAGAGGACTTACAGATGAGACAGCGGAGGCCCAGATCCCGAAAGGGATTTGTTCCAGCTGACCTCGACCAATGCACGGCAGACCCCAGACCCAAGGCAGGGCTTTGTCACTCTTCAGATCCCAGCCTGGGGAGAGACGAGTGATGCGAATGCCCCAGCCGGGCCCAGGGAAAACCCGAAAACAGAGTCTGCAAAAGAAGTCGAGGCAGGGTCACTGATACAACTCGACAAGCATTAGTTAAGCACCTACAATGAGCTAAGCCCTGTGCTGGGCACGGGAGGGGAAAGGAATAGGCATTTATATAGCACCTACCATGGAGCAGGACCCTCACAACAGCCCTGCCAGGTAAGTGCTATTGTTATTATCCCCATTTTACAGTTGAGGAAACTGAGGCAAGCAGAGGTTCAAGTGACTCACCCAGGGTCACACAGGTAATAAGTGTCTGAGGCTGAATTTGAACTCAGGTCCAAGCCCTGCTCCCTGTGGCACCACGTAGCTGCCTTCATCCAAAGACAAAGCAGTTCTTGCCCTCAGGGAGAGAGAGGGAAGGAGGGAGAGAGGCAGACAGAGAGAGGGAAAATGGGGGACTCAAGAGACTCTGACCTGGCACTCTTGGGGCATCCTCCCTTTTTCAGTCCATAAGTGAGGAAGGCCCCTGGCTGCCCAGAACTCCCCCATACCATGATAAACAAGGGCCCCCTCCGAGCCCCGAGACCTTCCCCTCCAAATCTGGCTCTGAGAACCCACAGCACATCAGTAGCAAAAGCCCGAGGACCACGTGCCAGGCGCTCGCCCATCTTCTGTTATGTCTGCTCTTCTCTCTTCAGGTGTTTTTATTTGGGGTGCTGCAAGAAATCCAGCCGGGACAGGTCTGTGCCATGTGTGATTTACCGCTTTGTGGGCAGCGTGAGCGATGCCTTTGGGGCCCTGCTATCCAAGCAGCTCCCCATCCAGGTAGGTGCCTCATGCCCCAGGTACCGGCTAGGCTCTCCTGGGCCCTCTGTGAGCACCGCAGTGGCCACCAGGGGTCAGATGTAAGCTATATCAGAAGCATCGCCAGCTTTGCCTGGCAGGCTACCTGCCTGCCCAGTCCCTGATCCCTGCCCAGGGACCCTTGTCTCTGCTCCCAGACAGAGAAACTCCTAAGAGGAGGCCACTGGAGCCCGAGTGGGGAGTTGGGATCACCCAGTGCCTCCCAGGAGTGAGCCATGGAGTAAGAGCTAGTGTTCTGGATCTGACCTGTGCCTGCTTTATGTAGGGAGCCCCCCACAGGCACACACCCTGCACCTGGTCTTTGCCTGCTCTGTGTAGGGAGCACCCTCCCCCAGCACCTGACCTGCGCCTGCCCTGTGTAGAGATTCCCCTCCCCCAGCACCTGAGCTGTGCCTGCTCTGTGTAGGGAACCCCCCCCACCCCCTCAGCACCTGAGCTGTGCCTGCTCTGTGTAGGGAGTCCTCCCCACCCCCACCAGGACCTGGCCTGTGCCTGCTCAGTGTAAGCCCCCTCCCTCACCAGCACATGCTCGGCAGCATTGAGACCATGGGGGCTATGAGAGGACTTGCCTGAGCTCCCTGGGCCAGTGTGTTCCTCGGTTGGGACTTGAACCCAGGACCACATCTGCTATAACATAGCTAATCACCCTGGAGAATACTTTCATGAAGTTTTCCTCTTTCATAGTGCTTTAAACTGGCTCCCTGGGAGATCCCTCACACTCCCTGTGTCATCCCCAGGTTCCATGTTAGGACACTGGTCACACGTGGTCCCTTAGGTGCTACAGCTGGTTTTGACTTCAGGTCAGTTGACTCCATGGCCTGGGCTCTCCCATTTGGGAAGGCGGCCGCTAGAGTTCAGGCCCCGGGGTCAGGGATAACATGGGTTCAGATCCCACCTCAGACACTAGCCGGGGGAATTTGGGTGAACCACTTCACCACTGAATGCCTCAGTTTCCTCATCTTTATAAAGGAACAATAGTAGCCCCTACCTCCCAGGGTTCTTCTGTGGAGCAAATGAGATATTTGTAAAATACCTGGCAAACGTTGAAGTGCTATGTAAATGCTGGCTCTTGTTAGAGGAAGCCAGTGCCCCAGAGCAGGGACAGAGCCCGAGTGACAGGAGGCAGGGCTGGAATCCGGTGACACTGGGAGAGGTGGGGCGGATCAATGTCAGAAGAGAGTCACAGACTCTGGCTCACAAAGACCCTCCTCAGCGCCCTTTCCCGTCTTGTTCTCCCTCCTGATCCCTGCCTGTACCTCAGTTCGCCATTTTCTCTCTGTGGTGCTACCCTATTGAGTCTGTTCAGTTGGGACAGACCTTCCTTCCTCGTTTCCAGTTTAAAATGCTAAAAGGAAGGTTGTGGGACATTTGAACGCTTTTGTCTGGTTTTTAAAGCCCTTTGCAGTCGGACTGTGGTCCATCTTTCCAGACATGTGCTTTGCTCCAAACCAGCTGACTTATTCTCTGCTCTTCATATAGAGCTTCGTTTCCTACCCCCATGCCTTTGTACCCTCTTCACACCCTGCCTCCCACCTAGAATGCATCCTTCACCTCAGCCTCTAGGAATCTCAGACTCTGCCTGCCGGGTTCGAGGGCCCCCCTCCTCCATGGGGCCTATCCTGCTCCCCACCAGCAGCAGCCTCTTCACCTGGAAATGCCCTTGATAGGGACCTGTCAGTGTGTTTGCTGTTTTCCCAATAGAGAACGTAAGCTCCCTGAGGGCGGGAAGTGCTCAACTTGTCTTTCTCCCCAGTCCCTAGCTCAGCACTTCCCTGGCTGCACACCTCAAGTTCTGTTAAGCAGACGGTTTTTGTTGAACGTAATGGAATTGAATGACTGTGGACTTGCGACTGCCCCGGCGGTCCCCCCCCTCCCCTGGCAGCTCCCCTTCTCGTTCCAAGCCTTCCTTGTCCCCCGGGGCCTTTCCTGTTGCTCACCAACTCCTCCAAATCTCTTTCATCTTTAAATAAGCATTTAGACTGGGCCGAGCTCCCCCAGCTCCTTTGTCTTCCTCTTCCTGAAGGGGAGGTTCCCGGGGAAGCTTTGCACTCTCGCCTCCCCGGCCCGCTTTCTCTGCCGCACAGTCTGGCTTCTGACCTCAGCCCTCACCCAAACCTGATTCCTCCAAAGTCACCCGTGGTCTCTCCATGGCCAGAGCCTGGTCTGCGGCCTCACAGGCCTCAGGTGCTGCTGCTCCACGGCCCTTCTCCCCAGGGTTTCTGGCAATCCTGCTCAGCACAGACGACTGTCAAATAGCGATTACAATGACCCTTCACAGTCACGTGGTGGCCGGCGGCTCAGGCACAGCTAGACAGGGCTCCGCGGTCTGACCATCCTTGGTCAATGCTGAGGCTTCATCTAAGAGTCTACCCCCAGCTGGCGTCTTAATTGATTGATTTTTCTCAATTTTTGTAATTTCTGATGAATGATTTCAAGATTTTGTGAAAAGATACATACATATGTCCCTATGTCGCCATTGTGTTTTAACAAACGTTACCTTCAGTGCTTCATAGATTCCCTCTGGGGGGCTGAACCCCCCATACCCCCCCCACGCTGGACGGTATAGCCTCGGGTGCAGCTGGGGGGGTTGAATAAAAGGTTAAAGAAAGATTTTGAGGGGGGGCACTTAGAAAGTTTTTTGGAAAGGGGGAGTAGGCCACATAAGTTTGGGAACCTCTGCCTTACACCATTTAATCTGAGCTTCTGGACCAATGGTGTCAAACTCAGACAGAAAAGGACCCAAGTCTCAATATTGACAGAATACCTGTTCTGGGAGGTTTGACTGAGTGTGACCTCTGCTGAGACAATCCTGTGAAGATATTATCTCCATTTTACAGAGGAGTAAACTGAGGGGTCAAGAGATTGGATTTTTCTCAATTTCACAGAGCTAGGAGGTATCTCAGGTGGGATTCTAATCCAAGGCCCTGCCCACTGTGCCACTCCACATCTTGAACATGCCACCCTCTCTGGGCCTTGATTTCCCTATCTGTAAAGTAAGGGGGGGGGAGGGATAGATGATGTCAGAGGTCCTTCCAGATCTGGATCTCTGATTCTATGATCACATTATAGGCTTAATTAGATTTGGGGAGAGCCGCCCCTAGGTTGGGCGTGGGGTACAGATCTTTTTGGCCGCAACCAGTCCTGAATCCAGTTCCAGAGACAGGGAGAGCCCTCAAGGCCACAGATCATAAAAGGGAAAACACAGACAGAGGGATGAGCTTACAGGGTAGGTGTTGGAACAGACCTTTGCTGCCCAACTTCTCTTGTAGTGTGTGTGTGTTGTGTGTGCATATGTGTGTATGTGTATGGATGTAGGGGGTGTGTATTATGTATGTGTATATTTGTGATGAGGGCATGTTGGCAGTGTAGGGGGTAGCATCCCCCAAAGCCCAGTCGCTTTGCCAGGGCTACCAGAGGGGTGCCACGGAGTGCATGAAGGTTCTGGTCTGTTCCCTGATAGTGCGCGTGTGTAGGAAAGACCTTCTTCTGTCCCCAGTCCTCCCACCCCTCCCGCGGAAGAAGCAAATGAGTGCTTCTTTCTGGTGCTGTTCCAGTTAATGTCCTGGAGTCTCTGGATTTGAGTTGGAGCCTGACCTTAGAGGTCATCGTGTCCAATGCCTGCACAAACACGGACTGTGTTGGGGTTGGTTTATTAACATCGCGGTGTTGGAAGTTCTTCTTGAAAGGTCTGTAACCACTGGCAAGACTTATTTGTGCACCAGGAGCATTGAGAAACCTCTTTCTCCCACAGGTCTTCACTGGCGTCTACCTGGCAGCCATTGAGGTGGTCAGCCTCATATTGCTTCTCTTCCCCATCTGTGGCTCTGAGATTAAGCCCGAGCTGGGTGAGTGTGTGGGGACTGTCACCTATGCAGGGAGAGGGTGGTTCCCTGGCCATTCCTGGGTCCTCGGGGCCAAGGGCGCGTGGCTGGGTCAGGGAGAGTGAAAGCCTACCATTGTTAAGAAGGCCTTGAAGTGACCATGGCTCTGAGCTCTGAGGCCAGGAAGTGTTAGGGCCCTGAGGTTTCATGGAGGACAATCTGGAAGATAGTCACCAGGCAGAGAAGATGCTCCATCATCCCATTTGGGAGGGGAGGGATGGGACTGTGGTCCCTAGGTTTCTGGGACTTCAGAGGTCACACAGCCCACAGAAAGGCCAGCTCATACTGGGGCCAAGTGGGGCTCAGTTTATACATTGCACCTCCAAGCTGCAATCCCCTCCCCTTTTTTTAGAAAGAAAATATTGTGATTGAGATACAAAAAAGGACTTAGAAAGTGTTCCCAAGAGGAATGTAATTCTCTGCTGCTGCATAAATTGATTAGTTGTGGAACAATTGGTCTTTTTAGTAATACTCCCTTATCATGCTATAAATTATATGGTGGCACACTAGAATAGATGCATTTTTTATTTTCAACAATCACAACTAGAAGAAATTCTCTTAAGACAAATTTGTGCCATGTCCATATTCAGGGAGTTCCAAATTTTCTCCCTCCCTCCCCTCCCTGTTCCCTGAGATAGTAAGCAGTCTGATACGATGTGCAGTCATGTAAAACATTTCCGTGTGAGTCATTTTGTGCAAGAAAACTCAAGCCAAAAAAAAAAAGGAAAGAAAGCAAGCATGCTTCAGTGTGTGTTCAGACACCATCAGTTCTTTCTCTAGAGGTGGAGAGAGTTCTCCTCATGAGCCCTTTGGGACTGTAATGGATCGTTGTATTGCTGAGAAAGGCCAAGTCATTCACAATCCTTCACTGTACCATGTTCTAGTTCTGCTCACTTCACTCTGCATCAGTTCATAGAAGTCTCTCCAGGTTTTTCTGAAACCACCCTCTTCATTTCTTGTAGCACCATAGTATTCCATCACATTCCTATACCACAACTTGTTCAGCCATTCCCCAGCTGACGGGCATCCCCCCAATTTCCAGCTCTTAGCCACTATAAAAAGAACTGCTGCACATATTTTTGCACAAATAGATGGTTTTCCTTTTCCTTTGATCTCTTTGGGATACAGACCTAGTAGTGGTGTTTCTGAGTCAAAGGGTATGACCAAGTTTGTAGCCCTTTGAGCATAGTTCCAAATTGTTCTCCAGAATGGTTGGATCAATTCACAAGGGAAGTGCTTCATGAAGGAAGAGGCAGGTGGGTGGCTCAGTGGATAGAGCACTAGACCTGGGGTCAGGAAGACCTGAGTTCAAATCCAGCCTCAGTCACTTACCAGCTGTGTGACCCTGGGCAAGTCACCTAACCTTTGTTTGCCTTAATCTACTAGAGAAGAAAATGCAAAGAAAACCACATGGACAGTGTGGTCCATGGGGTCACAAAGAGTTAGACATGACTGAACAATGCATTTATGAAGGAATAAAGCAGAGAATGAGAGATTGGAGGGAAGAAGTCTTGAGAGCAGCTAGGACAGAGGCAGGCCAGGTCTCAGGATTGGGAGCTTGGCCAGAGAGTGATGAAGGAAGTGAGACCGAGAAAGAAAAGGCTGGAGAGCTGTCCGGAACCATTCCCTGAGTAACAACATCAGACCTGCTGATGGGCATTGTACTGGCCCAGTATGGAGAGAGGTGGCTCATCGATAACTCTCCATCTTTCCGAAGTGAGAGGTGGGGGAGGGTGCATGTGAAAAGTCAGCTCCTGCTAAGTGAATTTAGGGTTAGGGTTAGCATTCTCCTTCCTGATGACCAGAGATTTCAGACACAGAATTCAAGACATCCCTGCTTCCTGTTCAGCTTCTTACTGGGTCAAAAACAAAATGAACTTCACCATACAAGATGGAGGAGGGAGGGAAGCATGGTTAGCAGCTCATCTGAAAAAGATCTGAGGATGGTGGTGGACTGCAAGCCAAGGAAACTTTGGGGATCTGAGGCCAGTCCCACTGTCTTCTGTCCTGGGTAGGTACCACTGGCAATATTCCTTTCCAGTGACATGTCTTAGGATGTATATGTGGAGCAAGGTGACCAGGATTTTCAGGAAACTCAAGTCCCTGCCCATGAGGGGCCGAGGACATTTATCTGGAGAAAAGGAGCCTTGGAGGGCATGCAGTTATAGATCTGGAGCTGGCAGGGATCTCAAAGGACATTTACACCAGCCCCCTCATTTACAGGTGAGGAAACTGAGACCAACAGTCCCAGCTCTCCTGGAGCCAGTAAGGACCTCTGCCCTCTGCACAAAGAGCCATCTTCTCTGAAGGCTCTGCAGGGATTTGGGGCTGGCTTTGTTCTGCTTGGCCCTAGGGGACAGAGCAATGGGGCGAAGTTACGAAGAGGCAGACTTAGGCTAGAGATCAGGAAAAACTTCCCTGTGTGGAGAGCTATCCCAAAGGGACACCCTTGGCTGCCTTGACAGGTAGTGAGTTCCCCGTCTTTGGAAGTTTTCAAGCAGAGGATCCCTGGGCAGGACAGTGCAGAGAGGGTGTTTTGCTCAGGGATGAGACAGACAAAGTACCTCCGGAGGCCCCTTCAGCTCAGAGGCTGTGCCTTCTCTGGACATTCTCGTCCAGAAGCAAAGTGGGGTTTGGATGTTTGCTGCAGGCAGATGCTCCCGGGAGAGGATGAGGAGGAAACTCCGGGCCGGCATATTTGTCCTCCTTGTGCCCCTGGGGGTGGGCACTGGCTGGCTCGCCCTGGCTCCCCCGGCTCCAGCCGCCCTGGAATTCCGTGGAGCACAGAGAAGGCTTCTGGGAAGTGTGCTGCAGGTACCGGGAATGCCAAAGGGCTGGCAGGGGTTTGTTCCCCCCCCCGACTCCCTCCCCCCCCCAGCTGCTGGAGGCATCTTCCCAAAGCGCCAGCCCCCTCCAAACGAACTGCAGAGCTCCTGCTGCCTCGACGACCCAACACAAGGTTTTCTGTGTGGCTCAAGGAGCCCCGCACAGCCAGGCTTCCTGCCGCTGGCCGGTCTTTCCACTCTGCTCCCCTCCACAGACCCAAGGTTGCAGCTGCGAGGGCCTTCTTGGTGCACCTCAGATGGGACTCTTGGTCTCCCTGCCTTTGCACTGGCTGTACCTACCTCCTGGAAGTCCTTTTCCTCTCCTTCGCCTCCTGGCTGCCTGAGCTTCCTTCACGATTCAACTCCAATCCCCTCTCCTGCTCTTTCCCAGTGCCTTCCCCTGTGCATGCCTTCCCCTTCCTGATTGTCTTCATTGGCTCTGGTACTATCTTCTAGGCACTTAGTGGTATGCAGGTTGTCTCTCCCCCAACCCCCCCGCCACGATATGACCTCCTGACATGCCCCCCCCCAGGATGTGAGCCCATGACGTGCCGCCCTGAATGTGACCTCCTGATGTGCCCCCCAGGATGTGTCTGCTGAGATTTTTACAATGTCTTTGGGTTTGATTTCCCAGGAGAATCCAGAAGCCCTTGGCTACCTGCTGGGAGGGGTTGGCCTGATTGTCTCTTGGACTTCCCGAATCCCTTCATTCTCTAAAATCGTAAGTGAGGGCACATCCGAGGCAGTATCTTTGGGGGAGACAGAACCTCTTGGGCCAGGGCGGCGCAGGGTAGCAGCGTTGCCTCCTCGGGGACATTCTGCAAAAATTGCTTCTGTGAGCCACATGTCTGCCCTACATGGCCCTGGCTCAGAGGAGCTACAGACCAGACAGGGAACAGTCACAAAGCCAGTGGTCCGTTGTGGGGGATGGGCAGCCTGGACAGCTAATGACAGGCCCCGGAACACTGGTCAGTCAGGACCAGAGCAGAAGGGTCTGCCAAGGAGGCGGGTACCTCCTGGGTGCCTTCTTCCCTATTAGCTGTGGCCTGAGCAGAGCAGCTTGGCCCGCCTCTGACCTGCTTGTGTGGGACCAGTTTGGGTTCTTGTGATCTTATGAGCCAGGGCCAGGCTACAGTAGGAGGCTGAGCTGGGCCAGGCCCATAAGGCCTATGACTTCTTGCCCTCTACAAGCCAGTGACAACATTAAGGTCAAGGGGCCATGCTGTCTTTGGGAGACCCCTCCTGTCCTCCAAATCTATCACTGACTGTTGCCAGGCCCAGGGCGGGGAGGGCTTTGAGGATGCCCTGGCCCACGGCCCCAACGTGAGTGAAAGCCTTTGGGGGCCTTTGGGCCCAACCTGACTTTTACTGACGCGAGCATGAGGAATTGGGTTTAGGGTGAATGTGAGCTCCTGACGTGCCCTGCAGTTGGCAGAATCTAGTGGGACAACCATGCTGGTGTGATGGGCTCCTATGGCAGGACACAAGTGCTGTCCACACCCATGCTGGGCCACCCCGGCCAAGTCACTTTCCACTCTCCCCCACCCCAGCTTAGTTCTCTCCTCTGTAAAATGGAGTGATCACGTTTGCATTCCTAACAGGAAGGAGGTACAACGTGCTTATGAGCCTTGGGTCACCTGTAGCGGGAGTGGCTACCGTCCTCTCCTCCCCTCTTAGGCTCATTGCATTGTCCACAGCTGGGCCAGCCTTTAGCTGACCTGCCAGAGAATGGGAAGGCAGGACAAGGCTACCATAAGATCATGGGAGAGAGGGCTCAGTGGCAGGTTTGAGGACCCTGGGCAGTGCCTCAGGAAGTGCTCAAACAGTCAGGGCATCTGAAATCTCAAACTGGAAAGGTCACCCCATTTTACAGAGGAAGGCACTGAGGCCCCCAAGGGGAGATGATTCATCCCGCTGGCAGGGAGCCTCAGAGTCAGAATTTGAACCCACACCCTTGGGTTCTAGAATACTCTGCTGCCTTGGGAGGATGAGCCCTCTTTTTTATACATCCAAACTTTCCAGGACTCACACATGAAAGCATTTGTACCATGAGAACCCCTGTGGCCTAGGGGAAAGAGTGGAAAGCTTAGAGGCTAGAGTTCGAATCCTACTTCCAGTGCTTGGGAGCTATGTGACTGTAAGTCACTAAGCCACTCTGGGCATCAGTTTTCTCTTTTCTTTCTTTTTTTTTTTTTAGGCAATTGGGGTTAAGTGACTTGCCCAGGGTCACACAGCTAGTTAAGTGTCAAGTGTTTGGTATGAGGCCGGATTTGAACTGAGGTCCTCCTGACTTCAGGGCCAGTGCTCTATCCACTGCGCCACCTAGCTGCCCCAGTTTTCTCTTCTGTAAGATGGGGATGATAGGAAACCATAGAGACTGCCCTTAGAAGCCTCAAATGAGATGGTGGGTGTAAGGTGCCCCTTGAAGGGTCATTGAAATGTCAGCTTGGGGCGGTGGCAGCCGCGGTGGCAGTGAGGGCAGCATTCATTAAGTGAGGGCACACTCAAGGGAAGGGGTTTTGTACTTGGGGACTCTTTGAGATCCCACTTGTGTTTGAAAACTCATGGCTCACAGACCTGAGTGTGCCACATGCTGGCTCCATCTTGTTTTTGTTTTGTTTTTTAGGCAATTGGGGTTAAGAGACTTGCCCAGGGTCACACAGCTAGTAAACGCTGGCTCCATCTGCAGATGGTATTTGGGTTCATTGACAGATTTGTGGACCCTTGGGAACCACTAGTCCAGAAAAGATTCCTTCATTTGCAAGGGAAACCCCAGCTCCCACAGGGGGTACAGTCAGGCTGCTCCAGAAGGCCATAAGGTAGCCAGGGCCCTTCCTTTGGTCCCCATGCTTCCTGGAAGCTGTCCCTGCCCGGGCTGATCAGGTCGGGACAGGGAATCTTTTCCTATCCTTTTCTCACAAGGGGCAGTGAAGCTGTGACCTCACCTCTCTGGCTGGTTAGATGTCAGTGAGGTCTCATTGGCCACCCATCACCACTATGTTCTAGCAGCATCCTTCTAACCCTAACCCTAACCCTAACCCTTCCCTCTGCAACCCCTAGACACACACACACACACACACACACACACACACACACACACACACACACATCTTATCTCTTTTCCCCTACCCCCTCCTCTTCTTTCTCTCTGTCCCTCTGTCTCTGTCTGTCTCTCTCTTTCTCTTTCTCTCTCTCTCCTCCTCTCCTCCTCCTCCTCCTCCTCCTCCTCCTCCTTCTTCTTCTTCTTCTTCTTCTTCTTCTTCTTCTTCTTCTTCTTCTTCTTCTTCTTCTTCTTCTTCTTCTTCTTCTCCTTCTTCTTCTCCTCCTCCTCCTCCTTCTCCTCCTCCTCCTCCTTCTTCTTCTCTCTCTCTCTCTCCTCCTCCTTCTCCTCCTCCTCCTCCTTCTTCTCTCTCTGTCTCTCTGTCTCTCCCTCTCCCCCTTCCTCTCCTTCCCCTCAGCCTAGATGAGACAGAAACATAGGCACCAGCCCCCGCCCCCAGCTGGCCACCAAGCGTTCCTGGGCATCCCTCATGGCCAGGCAGTGCTTTGCTGCATCTGTGCCCTCACGTCCTCCGTGGGAGGCGCTGGCTCGTTCAGCACTTACTGAGTGACCCCAGTTTCCTCATCTGTGAAGTGAAGGGCTGCACTGAAGTCTTCCAGATCCTCCCAGCTCTAGAGGGATAATAACAGCACGTGTTTGTCTAGTGCTTTAAGGTTTGCAAAGCACGTCACAGATTGGATCTCATCTTCTCACAAAAGCCCTGTTATTATTGTCATTTACAGATGAGGAAATGGAGGCAAACAGGGTTAAATGACTTGCTCAAGGTCATTCAACTCATAAGTGTCTCAGGCCACATTTGAACCCAGGTCTTCCTTACTCCAGGCCCAACCCTCTGTGTATGGCGCCACCTAGCGGATGAGCCTATGAGTGGGGATAAGTGAGTCCATGAGCCTGTAGATCCCAGGTCTGGACTCTCAGAAAAGAAAGGGGGCCCTGGGAAAGGTCGGTGGAAAGAACATTGCGACCCCAGATGGGTGCCCATGGTTTCCCCCTCTTCCTCAAGGCGCTCGCTGCTTTGCCCCAACTTAGGGACACTGGAGCAGGTTGGGGGTGGGACTGGGGTGTGGAGACAGAGACAGAGACAGAGGAGAGAGAGAGGGGTGACTGGGGAGATGCTGGGCAGGCTGAGGACAATGATGGGTGTGTTATTGTTTATTTTTGTTATCCTCCTCCCAAAAATGGCCCCGGTGGAGCACAAGAAGGAGCAGAAAGATCTTGTCCCCTCAATGTTTCTCATCCCCAGCCTCAGGCTTCCCCACTGACAAAGACTCGACCTGCACCACATGTTGTAAGCAGACCTGGCACCTAGCCCTCTTCCCTGAGGCTCTGTAGCTAAGCACCTGAGCGCTCCAGGTGTCCCGCTCCTAACCCTTTTCTCGTTTGCCCAGTGCCAAGGGAAAGCCTTCTCGTGCCTCCATCTGTGGGCCAGGGGCTTTTCGGCCCTGGCTGGTTTTCTCTACACCTCTGCCATTGTGGCTCATGATCGGCAACCTGAATACTTGCTCCGTGCTGTTCCCTGGTTCCTCATCTCCCTGGGCGCCTCCACACTTGACCTTGCTGTATCCTTTCCCTAGCTGAGCCCTCCTGGCCCTTGTGTCTGCCCACAGAGAGGCCAGGGCTGGCAGCACAGATGCACGCCCTCCTTGGGGATCTGTGGGACCCGTTAGGAAAAAGGATCTGGACAGCTCCCTCCCGTCTCTGCCCCGGGGTGGGACAGGCTGGCAGCTGTAGGTTGGAGACAGCCCTTGGCCATCCCTCGACCTCTCCCTGATGCCAAGAACACTGATGCTGTAGCGCCCTCCCCAGCCTCACCCCAGGATCCCGAGAGCTAACGGAAAGGTCATTATCTGTGGGCAGCATCCGTCTGTGGTGCTGCCCAGGGACGCACGGGACACCGGGGGTTTGCAAGTATCGCCCAGGTGAGGCGTGCATCATGACCAAGTGAGTCATCCCTTTTTCCATGGCAGAAGCATGCGGATGTGTCTCCCTTCCCCCTCCGCCCAGCTCCTCTTGCCCCATCCCTTTCCCTCCCCCTTATCTGAGTCCCCTCTTTTACCTCCCTTACTCACTCTTCCTCCTTCCATCCCTCTTCCTCTTTGCATTCCCTCTCTCTTTCTCCCCTTCTGTCCCCTCTTTTTCTCTGCCTCTCTTTGTATCTCTCTGTTTCTCTCTTTTCCACCTGTCTCTCCTGTTTGTCTCTCTCCTTGCCTCCTTTCTCTCTGTCTCTCTCCCTTTTCCCTCTCCTCTCTCTTTTCTCTCTCCCTTTCCTGTTTGTTTTTGTTTCTCCTCTATCACTTCCTGCTCTCTATTTCTCTCCCTCCTCTCTCTCCATCTGTCTTTCTCCTCTTCTTTCTCTCTCTCCCCTTTCTTCCTCTGTCCCTCCCTCCTCCTTTCACATTTGCCGTAGGAGTCAGGGGACAAGGATTGCCTCCTCCCTGTCCCCACTGGGCCCTTGACTTCATCTCTGACCTTAGGCAAACCTCCCAGAAGGAAGGTCTGAAGTTGAATAACTGAATGGTGGGCCAAGGTGGATTCTTGGCTTCCGAGTTTTGTGGGAGCCATCCTCTTGGGGAGCTGTATGCCCTTAACTTCTGAAATCTCAGCTTATTTTCCTCTCTTGTGTGGTGCAAAGCAAAATGAGGCGAGTGCTGGGATTTTCCATTGAGGCCACAGAGACCCCTGACATGCAAGCCCTCCTGACATTCGCTGAAAGGGAAGAAGACAACAGACAGGAAGAGGTGGAGGAGGAAAAGGTCTCTTTCCTCACCTGTGGCGGGCGATGGGGGGAGGTCTGTGCTGACACCAGGCTGGTCTTGGGCCTCGGACCCTGGCTGTGGGACCAGGGCCAGTCACCGCGCTTTCTGAGCTGCAGGATCCCTTTGGACTCTTTGAGCCGCTCACAGGGCGAGGAGGAGCCTGAGAACTCCAGTGTAGTTACCACCATGTGTCACACTTGCCTTGGGTAGTAAGGTTTGCCGGCACTTTACAGATGAGGAAACTGGCTCACGTGGGATAGTGTGGCTGCTGGGCAGGGTGTAATCCTCCTCTCTGATGCCCACCGTGATTCACGGGGTGGCCAGAGGCCTGCCAGTTCTCACAGGGATCTGGGAGAAGGCGCTCCCGGCTCCGAGTGAGCCTCCCTCAGTCAACAAGCATTCATTAGGCACTTGCTGGATGTGAGGCGCTGTGCTGAGTAAGCACTGAGGAGACAAAAAAAGGCCAAAATATTGTCCCTGCCCTGGAGGAGGGACAGGCACACAGGACGTGTGAATGGGAGGCAATCTGAAAAGAGAAGGCTCGAGCTGGGGGATCGGTGGGGAGGGACCAGGACAGGCCTCCTGTGGAAGGGGAGGGGCAGTTAGGAGGGGACAGAGCATTCTGAGCATGGGCCTTGACGGACTGCTCTGTGGGAGCCCCGGAAAGAAGGCCAGCGAGGCCAGACTGTAGAGTGCAGAGGGGAGGAAAGCATGAGAAGACTGGAATGGAGAGGGCCTCAGGTGGGGAAGGGCTGGGCATTTATATGGCACCTTCTACATACCCGCCCCTGTGCTAAGAGCGTTGCATCGCTCCCTCCTTTGATCCTCATGACAACTCTGGGAGGAAGTTGCTGTCATTGTCCCCTTTTACAGCTGAGGAAACTGAGGTAGACAGCTGAAGTGACTTGTCACACAGCTAGTAAGTATCTCAGGCTGGATTTAAACTCAGGCCTTCCTGCCTCTAGGCCCAGCACTTTATTGGCTGTGCTGCCTCGAGGCCTCTAAAGTAGGCTCCAAGGCTTTCAAAGTCCACATCAGGGTTTTCTGTTTGATCCTGGAGGTGACAGAGCCACGGGAGTTTCTTGAGTAGGGGCTGGGTGATGCGGCCAGACTCTGGCTGCCGAATGGAAGCTGGGCTGGAGTGGGGGGAGGTGGAGCCAGGCGGACCCACCGGTCTGGGAGGCCGTTGTGGTCACCCAAGAGTGAGGGACAAGATCCTGAAACCAGCTGGACGCTGCGTGAATGGGGAGAAGGGGGTCAATACTGGGCATGCTGTGAAGGTGCAAAGGAAAGCAGCAGGCAGCAGACTGGATCATAGGCAGAGGGAGAGAAAGAAGTTGGGGGGATGCCTGGCTTGTGAGCCTGGGTGGCTGTGAGGATGGGCAGGAATGGTGAGGTTCACAAGAGGGGAAGGCCTCAGGACTTCCATTTGGGACATACTGGGTTTGCTGTGCCTCTGGGACACCCAAAGTCAGCTGGTGATATGGGAAGTTAGGACATTTGAGGGGGTGACAACATGTTTGCTGAAGTCCCTAGTGTGAGGGCAGGGTTTGGCGGGGAGCCAGGCATTAAACTCGGTGAGGCAGAACAGAAAAGGTCCCGGGTGGCTGATAGACAACAGCCCCCGGGATTTGGGTTGAGTGAGACATTGAGAACTGGGGCAGTGAGGACCTCAGAAGGGGAGAGATTGCTGAGGGATGGGGGAAGGGGAGAATTCTGGAGTGACCACGGGAAGCAGGAATAGTCTGACCCCCCCCCCCCAGTGGGTCAGGGGCATGAGAGAAAGTGTTACCTGTCCTGGGAAGGGGCCACAGGCTGCCACATTGGCAGGAGAAAGCGGCCTCCGGCAGAGATGAGAAGGGGAAGGCTTGTTCATTGTGGAGGGCAAAGCAGAAGGGGGCAGCTTGGGGCAGGCTTTGGTGGGGAAGGAGCAGGGTTGGGGAGGCATGGAGATGAGGGAACTGGGCTGCCCTGCCCGAGGACAGAAGACCAGCAGGTGGATGAAGGCTTTTAGCTTTTTCTTTCTTAATGCCCCAACTTAGCATACTGTAGGAAGAAATTATGGCCACTAGGGGGCACCATAGTGCACAGAGGACCTGGCCTGGAGGCAGAAGACTCAAATTCCTGAGTTCAAATCTGGCCTTAGACATTTACTTTGTGACCCTGGGCAAGTCACTTCATCCTGTTTGCTTCAGTTTCCTCATCTGTCAAATGAACTGGAGAAGGAAATGGCTAGCTTACCCAGTACCTCTGCCAAGAAAATTCCAAATGGGGTCATGAAGAGACAGACACAACTAAAATAGCTGAACAGCAGTGGAAGAAACTAGGACGAGTCTAGGGAAAATGTGATTGATTTTGGAAAAACAAGAGTGTTTGTTGAAATCCTAGATTCAGTGAACTTTCCCAACTGCCTCACTCTGTGCTCTTCCTTTCCCCCTTCTTTTCCCTTTCAAGAACTCCAACTGGGTCCCACTCCACATGCTCCCCCACACCAAGTATCTGCAGAAGATGGCGGCCATTGGCCGTTACATGGAACTGACCATTGAACATGTGCAGGAGGTAAGGGGGCTGAGGGACGAGGGCTGCTGAGTGCAGGCCAGGGAGGGGACAGGCGAGGTAGGGGGAAGCTGGTCCCAGGATGAATTTGAGGAGGGACTGGTAGAGAGAGTTACCATTTGGGCCAGGGAACAGTTGGGGTAGGCCGAAGATAGGGGCCGTGGGAGTTGAGGAGGCTGAAGAACGGGGAAGTGGAGGGTCAAAAGAAAGGAAGTCCGGAGTTGAGAAGACCGGGGTCACTTAATCAAACAGTACATGACAGTACATGGAGGAACGTGAAGAAGGAGCAAGAAGACTGGAAAGGCAGGAAGGGACCGGGGTATGAAGAACTTCAGAAGACATTTTTTTTTCCTGGAAGAGTCAGGGAAATTCTAGGATTTATTAAAGAAAGGGTGACATGCTCAGAGCTGTGTTTCAGGAAGATCACTTTCACAGCCGAGTGGAGGATGGGCTGGAGGAGGGGGAGACTGAGGCAGGCAGACCCCGCCTCCCCAGCAGCTACCGCCATAGTCCAGGTGAGAGGCTATGAGGGCAAGGATCAGGAGAGCAGGGGCCTTGGCAATGTTGGGATGTGGGGGTGGGGTGAGAGAGAGAGAGGAAGGAGTCGTCGAGAATGACCCTTGGGCTGAGAGCCTCGGTAACAGGAGGATGGTGGTACTGTGCAATAGGAAATAGGGAAGCCAAGCAGAGGAGGAGATTTTAGGAAAATCTCACTGAGTCCAGATTTGGCCATGTTGAATTTAAGCTGTCTACAGGAGGTCCATTTGAGGGGTCCAAGATGCACTTCAAAGAGGTGGAGATGCAAGGCTGGCTAAAAGAGAAAGTGGGATAAGTAGGGTTGAGAATTCTCATCGCAGACTGATCACCAGGTGAAGGCACAGAGAGGCAGAGGAGAAGAGGACAGGATCTGGATGAGGGCTGAACTGACTATGGATGGGAGGGGAGTGCCGGCTGACCCCAGGAGTCCTGGGGGATGCTGCACACATTAGGGCAGCTTTCCCTGGGGGGAGTAGACCCCCGGAGGTGGCCATGGCAGCCAGAGCCTCCTGGCCAGGTGACAGGTGTTTACCATGTGCGATGGGGTGGGTGTGAGGAAGTGCCCCTGCCACGTGGCGCCTGGGGCAGAGCCTGGCCTGCCACCTGCTAGGTCTGGCTGTGCCCTTGTTTGCCCTTCTGAGAGTTTTCCTACCGTGCGTGTTGGTATTGGAGGGCTCAGCCCCAGGGGTCCTGAAACATGCCCCGTACCTGGCATGGAGCATGGCCAAGCATCTGCTGCTTGTTCGCTCGAAGGGGTCCCTCAGGAAAGGCCTGTGCCCTTGTTCATCCCTCAAGGACTGTCCAAGGTGTCAGGCCCAGAGCAACTTCAGTCACCTACAGGCTGGTCTCACCCTGAGGCTCTTTCATGATCTGAGGGGCAAGACAGAGTAGAACGCGAGGCGCAGAGACATTATTAGGAAAAGAACTGCCCTTTCCTTTCTGAGATGAGGGGAGGGTGGTGTGATTCCCTGGTCCATGAGAACACTGATCTCAGTTGGCACTGGGGCAGCTGGTGGCCCAGCACAGAGTGTGCTGCACCTGCAGTCACAAAGACCTGAGTTCAAAGCCTGCCTCAGATGCTAGCTGTGTGGCCCTGGGCAAGTCACTTAACCCCTGTCTGCCTCAGTTTCCTCAACTGTAAAATGAGGATAATAGTAGCACCTACCTCCCAGAGAATCAAATGAGGTAGTATCTGCAAAACACTTGGCCCAGGGCTTGGCACATAGTAGGTATTTTGTGATAAATGCTTCTTTCTTCCTGCCTTTCTTCCTCATTAGCATGTGAGCCCCTTGAGAGCAGGAATAGAGTTTTGACTTTTCTTGGTATCTTCAGCACTCAGCCCAGTGCCTGGCACATAGTAGGTGCTTAATAAATGCATGTCGACCTTGAGCAGTCACCCACCTTCTCCAGGCCTTGGTTTCTTCAGCTGAAAAGTGGAAGCCGCCAAACTAGGTGGCCTCAAAGGCCTCTCCCCTTTCTAAAGTTGTGTGGTCCAGGGCCTGGTAGTACCAGCCATTCACATGGGATTCCCCTCCTGGGGGCAAATCTGCTCAGCACACCGAATCAGTACTGATAATACTGATCACAGCACAGATGTGGAGGGGGGAAGGGGAGGCTTGCCAAATGCCCTGTGGAGGGGGAGCCCATAGGGTGGAGGTTCCCAGACAGGTGTGAGGATCAGAAGCAGAGCCAGAGGGGCCCCCTGCTCCACCGCCTCAGCTTACAGACATGAAAACCGAGGCCTCAAGTGACCTGTCCATGGTCAGACAGCAGGCCAGGGGGGATTTCTAGATCATCGTGGCACAGACAGGCCTCATTTTACAGAGATGGAAACTGAGGATGCCCCAGGGATGGGGGGTGATTTGCTCCTAGAGGCCCAGCTTTTCAATGTCAGAGGCAGGATTTATGAATGAAAGGAAAAGAGATGGACCTGAGAAGCCTTCAGAGTCTGTGTGAGCCAACCCCTCGCTTTCCAGAGGAGGAAACTAAGGCCCACGGGGAAAATATCCTGACAAAAAATGGCCGATGGGGCAGCTAGGGGGTGCAGTGGATATAGCACCGGCCCTGGAGTCAGGAGGACCTGAGTTCAAATCCGGCCTCAGACACATAACCCTCACTAGCTGTGTGACCCTGGCCAAGTCACTTAACTCCAATTGCCTCACTCAAAAACCAAAAGTGGCTGGGCCCTGGGATGGGCTCATGAGGAGGTCATCTCCCCATCCTCGGCCTGGGTTCCCAGCAGAGCAGAGGTAACCCTTGGCAGACCCAGTGGGGTGGGCAGCAGCCTGGCTGACCTTGAAGGCCGCCTCAGAGGGTCAGGAGCGCACTCAGGGCTGGGTGTGGGCAGCTGCCAGGACGAGAGCTGGTAACTGAGCCCACAAAGTCGCTGAGTCACAGGCGCCTGGCCTCCTTCCTTCCCCACGGTGCCCGGCTTAAGTTTCCGAGTCAGCATTGTGCCCCAGGCCACCCGGCTCAGCTTTCAGGTGCCTTGTGCTCTCAGTGAGAGCCGGCTTGGCATGGGCTCCTTCCTGCTGCCCTCAGCTGCCTGGCCACATGAGCTGCCCGGGGCCAAAGGAAGGAGTGGGGGAGGAGGAGGGAGAGGAGGAGGAGGAGGTGGAGGAGGAGGAGGGGGAAGGGAGGGAGGAGGAAGTGTGGTGCAGTGGAGAGGGTGCTGGACTGGGGGACACAGAACCTGCGTTCAAATCCTGGCCCTGCTACTTAACAGCTGTAGGATTCTGGGCCTCAGTTTCCACCTTTGTAAGATGGGGAGGTTGGGGCCCTTCCAGCTCTTTCGCTGATTCCCCTGGGTCACCAACCCCGCAATGAATGTTCTCTCATGGACGCCCCATGAGACACTGAGGGAGAAGCAGGCTTGGTCAGCCTTCCCAGGCCTCTCCACACTTTCCATGTCCGTGCTTTGTCCAGGTAGGCTGCAGCACCACGAGGTTCCCAGGGGACGGCCAGACAGGTACCAGGGACGCGTTGCTCCAAGCCCCCCCATCCCTGCTGGAGCCGCCCGCCTACCCCCCCATCCAGGTCATCCACGCCAAGGTGTCCTCGACCAGCTCCTCAGAGGTGTCTTCCATCAGCTCTGAGCTGGAGGTAGGCAGGTGCCCAGGCCGGGGTTGGGAGGGGTGGAAGGGGAGTGTTCTTCAGCTCCTGCCCTTATTCATTGGTCTCAGGGCCCAGGGCCCCTCCCTGAAGGCTCATCCAGAGCGTCCCCTCCCATCTGGCTTCGTTCTGAAGTGCTGGAGAGCCCCTTCAGCTCTGGGCGACCTTGCAGACTGCAGCTGTGATCTGTGGCCCAATCTGAGCTCTCTCAGACCTCCTTAGGCCCTTAGGCCGGGGGACAGCAGGCCTCTCAGGGGAGGGCTGGGAGCTGGCAGAGGAGACTGGCTCCATCTCAGAGTCTAGGCCCCAGAAGTGAGAACAGGAGCCAAATGAGTGCGATGCATATCTCGGGGCTGAGGGGGACCCTTGGCACAATGACCACTTTGGGTAGTTGGTTTTATGGAATGTGTGGACAAGTGAGCAGGGGGGAGGGAGAGAGATGATAGGTGGCCCCTCCCTGGCCTTCCTCAAGGTGAGTGGCCCTAGGCACACCCCCAGGCCCTCTCCTGTGGGGTCACCACTGCTCCCGGGGCCCTTCCAGGAGCCCTGGGCAGGGTGGCTGGCCCCCATACCTTCCTAGCCCTAGCCCAGGAGCTTGAGATGGCTGTGAGATTGTGAGCAGAAGGAGGAGGGTTGAACAGAGGTACTGCTTGCTGGCCTCTGGCCCCAGGGGAAGCTTCACCCTTAGGTCCAGCCATTGCTGGACTGGTCAGTCCTCTGAGCCCTACACCGGCAATACCAGAGCCTGGGGCACGGTCCCCGCGGGGGCCAGTCAGCTTTGCCCAAGCAGCCGACATGAAGCCCGCAGCTTGGTACCTGGGAGCAGGCCCCTGGAGATTGTGGCAGGCTCAGCAGAAAGCCAGCCCTGCAGTTAGACAGGGCCTCAGAAGCCTCCTGTCCTCATGGTCCCGACAGAGCAGCACGGACCCTGTGTTAGGGGGTGGGTCCGACTTTAGCTGGGCTGGGGGCCACCGCTGAGAGCCAGCCACTCAGTCACTGTGTGAAGGGGGAGGGAGCTCCTTTCCATCTGGGGTCTGAGGCGGCACTGTCCCAGAAGTCTTTGGGATGGTTGGCGCCCCTCTGTCAGCTTCGCCTGGGGAGGGGGTGAGGTCCAGACCCCCATCCCAGGCTTAGGTGATACTATGGATGGGGTCTATGGGTTTTCAAGTCAGGGCCACCGACAAAATCAGATCCAAGACTTATGCTTTGCCCCAGAGTTTAGCATGCTTGGCTGGGGGGCGGGACCTTCAAGGTCATCTGGTCCAATTCTCCATTCTGTAGATGAGGAAAGTGAGGCCCAGAGGGGCTTTTCCAAGCTTCCAGGGCAGCTCTCTTCTGGCTGTGCAGGCCCAGCATACGTCGGTGCTGCTGGCCCCAGAGGGTTCCTGGGGCTTCACCAGAGCCAAGGCCCGTGGCCTTGACCCTGCCCTTCCCTCGCTCCCCTGGCACTGTCCCCGAGGGCCTCAGCAGCTAGAATTGTTGTCTGGAATGGGATGGAGCTGGGGCTGGGGCCCGAAGGATCAGCACCAACTTTGGTCCCTGCCTTGCAGGCCCATACAGCCTAGAAATGATCCGGGAGCTTGGGAGACAGAGAGTTAAGTGCTGCCACCCACGAGAAGGGGCAGAGCCCTCAGGGTCCACCTGCAGGGTCTCCCCTTTGGTGCTGATCCCACCATTGGGAGGAACCTGCAGCTGGTTGTTGGGAGATCCATCCAAGGGGCTGAGAGGGGAAGCCTCTGCAGGTTGGCCCCTACCCTCTGCCCCACTTTGCAGAAGCCTCCCCCGTCTGCAATGGGAGGACCTCCCACCCCCAGGCCAAGCGCCCTTCCTGGGGGCACGGGGATGTTCCTTGGAAGAGGAGCTCCTCTGCCTTCTGGAGTCCCCCCTCAGGAAGCTCAGGGACCTCTGAATGAAGCCTGCCTGATGCAGAGGGGGCAGGGAAGGAGCCAAGCCCTTTGCCTTTAGGTTAAAGTGGACCTTGCCTGACCCTGCTCCAAGGAGTGGGTCAATCATTTAGCCCTTAGGACTTAGGTAAGAATGGGACCTTGAGCTTCATTCTTCTGTGAGGGCAGCACCGGGTAGAGTGCTGAGCAGGAATCCCCAGTCCAGAGTTCCAGTCCTGCCCCTGGCATGCCAGAGATGACAAGGACCTCAGAGGCCCCTGAGCAGGAGCGAGCAGTCCTACGATTCCTTCCCTGAAGAAATTAGGGTGCATCTTGGGAGAGAAACAGTCGAGGGAATGGGGACCCATTCTTGGTCAGGTTTACCGAAGATGGGCCAAAGGGGCAGCTAGGTGGCACAGTGGATGGAGCTCCAACCTTAGAGTCAGGAGGACCTGAGTTCTTGACACTTACTAGCTGTGTGACCCTGGGCAAGTCACTTAACCCCAGTTGCCTCACCAAAAAAATAAAAAAACAAAAACCAAAGATTGGCTGAAATGGCTGAAGGAGGGCTGGCTCTGACAGAAGGCCTCTGCAGGAAATCCGGAAGCTGGTGTCCCTGGAGGTGTATTTGGTCCTCGGCCACAAAATGACAGCAGGGATTTTCTTTCCACGTAGAGATGGGGCGGGGGGGGGGATGTTAAACTGTGGGAAGGTCAATCACTGAGCATTTATTAGGTGACTTCTGTGTGCCAGACACTGAGATAGGACAAAGAATGACTCGATCCCTCCTTGAAAGGGCTGAAGTTCTAAAGGTGAACGTTGTTATTCAGTCCTAATCTTGCTGCCAGCCAGCTGGGTGACTTTAGACAAAGGACCGAACCCCTCTGGGCCGGAGAGTCCTATCCACCAGATGAAGGGACCTCGCCCTCCAGTGCTGATGGGCCCGAAGCTCTCTGAAGCGCCTGCGAGGCCCTCCTCCACAAGCGAGCAGCCTTCCCACACCGTGAGGGGGCTTCCCTGGTCATTGGCCTGGCCTTCCCATGCCCTGCTGTGACGTGAGCCCCCAGGCCCGGGGCAGACTTACTTCCCCAGTGCCTCGAGGCTGCAGGGGGCCCCGTGCTGGCCTGGGCTACATCCCCACGACTGGATCCTCCTCCTTTCATTTGTTTTCGCCACCCCTTTGGTCCTTCCTTTCTAGCCCTTGGTGAGGGCTCAGAGATGGTGGGTTTGGGTGCAGTCTGGGGCAGGGGTCCTGAATGTGGGCCCCCATCCAGCTGGGCACTGTGCTTTGGTGGATCGAAAGCCCCTCCGGGCCAGGGCCCAGTTTTCATTTGCTCTGGCACACAGTAGGCACCCAAATGTTCATCTGATCTGGATTGGCTCTGATGCCAAAGCTGGGAATGGCCGTATAGGCCCATTTCTCAGGTGCCTCCTTGGGGTGGAGAGGGAAAGTCTGGGCACAGACTGTGGAGCCCCCAGCTTGGGGCTCTTCTTCATCTTTGCTGGCCTCGGGCGTTTTGTTTTTTGTTTTTGGTTTTTTTTTTTTTGGTTAGGCAATGGGGTTAAGTGACTTGCCCAGGGTCACACAGCTAATTAAGTGTCAAGTGTCTGAGATCAGATTTGAACTCAGGTCCTCCTGACTCCAGGGCTGGTGCTGTAGCCACTGTGCCACCTAGCTTCCCCAGGCCTCAGGCATTTTGGAAGCTTGGCCTAGAGCCCGTTCTGTGGCCAGCAGGGCTCCTGGGGTGCCAGAAAGCTCCCCCTTCCTGGGTGGGTTTCTGCGGTCTTCTTTGCCCACTCTGTTTTCCAGTGTTAGTCTTGAATCAGAGCCACTCCATCCCACAGTTAACAACCTGGGGCTAATGATTATTATGACAGATGTTTATGGCTCCTCCTCTGACCGCAGGCTGACGGTCTTAGGCCTCCCCGCTCACCGCCCCCAACCCCTCTCTCCTCCTCTGCCTGGTGGTGGTAAAGCTGGTCACCGCTCTTCATCTCTCTCTTCCTTCCACAGCAGAAGTATTGGGAGGCCCTGAACTCAGAGCAGGTATGGAGACTCCTCCCTTCCCTCTCCTCCTGGTGGCTGCCTCCCAGCAGATCTGGGCCTGTGTTTACTGAGACCCTCGGGGGGCTGGGGAAGGTCGCATCCAGTTCCCCGAGCAGAGAAAAAGCCGACAGGCAGTCAGTGTGGTCTGGTCAGCGTTCTCCTGGAGGGGTTTTCTCTCCCTCGGACCCTGCCTGGAGAAGACGTTGACCCTTGTAGTAACACCCTGGGAAAGCAGGCCAGAGGAAGGCTTCACGCACCCCCAGAAATCAGTGCACCGATTGTGCCAGCGGGCTGCTCCCTCAAGGCAAGGCAGGGAAAGCCTTGTGTTAAGTAGTTTGGTCCTAACCTTGACTTACTTGGTGGGGGGATGTCCTGGTGAGGAAATTCCCTCCACTGACATGTGCCAGCTGCTTATCTACCCTTATGGTCTTAGATTCCAGTCCCCCGAGTGCTAAGTGAAGTCACTTGTCCAGGGCCATACAGCTAGGAAATGCCCGAGGTAAGATTGGAACCCAGGTCTTCCTGACGTTGGCTCCAGCATCCTGGCTGCTGAGCTGCACTGCCCTACCACTCAGGTCCAACCCATCTCTCATGACAGCCATTTTTCAAATGCTGGGTGGCAGCTCTTAGGTCTACCCAAGTCTCTTCTCCAGGGCTGGTGCCTTCAGCCCTTTGCTGTCCTCAGGATGAGCAGAGGCCAGGGTGGGATCTCAGCCTGACGTTCCCTGCATCCCAGAATCCCAGACTCGGATGGGACCCAGGCACCAGTTAATAATTAATTACTGGGGCAGCTAGGTGGTGCAGTGGATAGAGCACCAGCCCTGGAGTCAGGAGGACCTGAGTTCAAATCTGGCCTCAGACACATAACACTAGCTGTGTGACCCTGGGCAAGTCACTTAACTCCATTGCCCAGCCAAAGTAAGTAAATAAATAAATAATGATGATTAATTACTGCCCTGGTAAAGTGCCTTAAAGTGGACAAAGTAACTACCATGTGTTGTCTCCTGTAAGCCACCCAGCACCACCATGAGATGATAATAATAATAATATAATCATTAACATTTACAAAGCATCTACCACGTGCCAGACACTGTGCCGAGTGGTTTACACATCCTGTCACGTTCCATCCTCACGATAACCCTGAGAGGCAGGTGCAAGTATTATTCCTATCTTACAGATAGGGAAACTGAGGCACGTGGTGGGTAAGTGACTCACCCAGCTGGTGAGTGTCTGAGGCTAGATTTGAACTCAGGTCTTTCTGACTCCAAGCCCAGCACCGTACTGTTAACCTTGTTCTATGGGTGAGTGAGCTAGGGATTAAGGTGCCCCAGGTCCCACAGATAATAACTGTCAGAGGTGGTGTTCGAACCCAGGACTTCTAGTGTTGAGGTTCAGTGTCTCTCCCCTGAGCCATAGGGGCTCATAATCTAACGCACCCTGGAAGGAGGATCTGCCCCCTGCGCACGTGGGCCAGCCAATGGTCATCTGGCCTTCTGCTGTGGTGCGCTCTGCTCTACTGGGCCGCCCATCCCACTCTGGGACAGCTCCTGCGATCTGGCCTCCCTGCTGCCTTCTGCAGCAACCCTCCCTGCTTTCCAGGAGAGCCTCTCCTCATCGGGCGGTCAGCGCTCATGGGGTCTTTATACCTGCCTCCTTCTCTGCAGCCTGGCCAGTGCCCACATAGGACCTGAGAAGGACAGAGCTCCAGACTGGCTGGTGAAGAGTCAGAAGGAGGAGATACATAGGGAGGGGCCCAGGCTGCTTACCACCAGTACACCAGTGACTGGCTTCCTTCTCTTCTGCCCTCTCCAGCCGGGCTGATCAGAAGCCGTACGCTGGCCTTGGAGGCGAGGTCACTTGCGGTGACCCAGGTTAGGGGCTGCAGGGGCAGCCCGGCTTGGGACAAGGCTGGACTTGCTGCCTGTGAGCTGCCTTGAGCCATTCTGGGGTCACAGTCACTTTGGGCAATCATGCCTGTGGAAGGGTGGATGGTTGGGGCAACTTTGATAGACATTTCCTTGAATTCCAAGTTGGTCTTTAAAAATTCTCAGTTCTTGAAAAAAGGTCAAAGCAGCTTGAGGTGAAGGAGGGCCGAGAGCCTGGGTTCAAATCCTGCCTCCGACCTTTACTGGCTCTGTGACCCTGGTGAGCGCCAGATTTTTATTTCCTCCTCTGTGAAATGGAGATGATCCGTGCAGTGCCTGCGGCCCACCTAGGCTGGAGGATCCTCCCCATGCTTTGTCAGGAGTCAGAAACCCTGGTGGTTCTGTCTAGGGAGAGGGACCAGCTCTCGCCCAAGAAATGAGCCCATTTGGGGAGAGAATGTGTGGACCTGGGAGGGCGGGGGAGGCTCCCTGAAGGAGGGGGACCTGAGCTGGGTCTGGGAGGGAAGGACTCGGTCAGCTGCTCCACAAACACTCCACCCGGGCTCCCTGGGTCAGGCTTGTGCCACGTGCTAGGGTCATCTGGAGGGAGCTTCCAGCCTAAGTGGGGGGTGACTGGACCTCAGCAGGTGCAGAGTGCGTGGAAGGCATCATGCCCCTCCCCGCATGGGCCCTGTAGAGGAAGGTAGGAATTCCAAGAGGGGGCATGGGAAGATGGGAGTCATCAGGCCAAGATGCAGAAGGGAAGGCTCTCCAGGCAGGGGCAGCTGCCCCACGTAAATGCATGGAGGTGGGAGAAAATAGAGTGTGGTCAGCAGAGTAGCCAGGAGTGAGTCCGGTTGGAAGTGGAAGGTTTAGAGGAGGATGGATGATGTCATCCATCACTCAGACACTTTTCCACACTGTCATGGTGGACGGAAAGTGGACCTTGGAGCCAGGAAGGCCTGGGTTCAGGTCCTGCTTCTGATGTGGACTGTGTGACTCTGGACAAGTCACTGAACCTCTTGGGCAGATCTCTAGCACTGTACTGCAGAGGAGGTGCTAACTTGCATGCATGGAGGGCATGCCCCGTCCAGGAGTTCCCTGTACCAGTAACTGCAGGTGGAGACCTGATCCCTGCCAACCAAGGCCAGCCTTTGTGTGGGGTTTTTCTGTTTGGTGAATAAGGGACAAGCAGAATGAAGTGAGTTCTGCACTGGGTCTGGGGTCTGGGGCCCAGGGATGGGAGTCCTGCCGTGTTGCACTGCTGCCTCTGTTACTGTGGGCGGGTCAGCTCTGCTTCCTGAGCCTGTAAAGTGGGGGTGTCAGCTGATTTTCCAGATCCGTGAATCCTAGATGACTCACTGGTGACTTTAGGCGGCTCAGCCCAGGGATGACAGTGACAGCTCCATGGCTTTGGTGTTTGGGCCTTGCCTGAGCAGCCCTGGGGCTGCTCTCTCGGCCTTGGCTTTGGGGTGGGCTCTGTACAGGATGCCCAGAGGTGCCTGCAGGGAAGCATGAGGCAGGGAGCAGAGGCCTGATGACTGTGTGTCTTCTGTCCGTAGTGGGACTCTGAAGATGTGAATCTTCCACGGAACAGAGGCAGCACGGAGACACCCAGAGCTCCGGCCCAGGAGGGTCCAGGCCGACAAGCCCCCCCGACAGCTGCTGCTCAGTGAGGCCTTGGGGCCAGCCCGTCTGTGGGGACGTGCCGTTAGTAAGCACATCATCAGGCTCCCTGGGGGTGCTCCACACACACACACCAGCTAGGGGTGACCTTTGTCAGACCTCACAATGCCCTGAGATTGTCAGGAGAGGGCAGGAATGACTGGATGATTCCCTGAGGGAGAACTCTTTGACCGTGCACCCTGTGAAGAGGAGTGAGACATGCCGAGGTGTCTGCTGGACACAGATCCGCACCACTCATGGGCCATGGTGTGGCTGGCCAAAACTGTGCTCTTTTTGCAAAGAAAGTGACCACAGAGGCCAGGGTCCTGAAGAAGCCGGCCCCTTCTCAGGTTTGGGTTTTTCATCCTTCATTCCTTCATTCAAAATGACTGTAATTAATCCCATAGTCTATCTTATGAGCAGGGAGAGCCTCGACTGAATAAGGCAAGGTGAGGACCTTCCATCCAAGCAGAGATGTCAGGGCCCTCTCTGCCCTTTCCATTGCCGTCCGCATCATCAGCGTCATCCCCAGCTCTCCCTAGATGCCAGCCTCTCTCCTCTTCACTCTCCCATTCATCATTCATTCATTCGTTCATGCATTCATTCAGCAGCATGTAGTAGGTGCCTGCCAGAGCCAATCACCAGGCCCAGGCCGGGGGCAGGGAGGCTGGGGAAATAAAGGCAGAAGAGGATACTTCCACACTCTAGGGGGAAGGCTGCATTCTAATGTGGGAGACACTGGAAGCCCCCACATGGTCTGGACAAATTCATTTCATTGTTACTGTTGCAGGGAGATATGAACAGGTCTCCCAGCAAGGGCCTGAGGCTGCCCTCTGAGTCTCCCCTGGAGGATCCAGAAGTGACCAGGGCAGCCCCCTTTCTGCACCTGGGTGGCCATGGGCCTTGCTCCGTGGTCTGGCCTCTGGGCCAGGGGAGAGAGGGACCCTGTCCTGTTTTTCAGCTGATGTCATTTTAAGCACATTTGAAATGCAGGGGCCTGGACTGGTGCCCCAAAGGTTAGCTAAGCACAAGAGGCCGGGCTCCCTGCTTTCTTCTTGGAGTCGAGCCCAAGGCTGTCAAATGGCCCAGTTGTTTGGGGTGCCAGCATCAGCCTGCACTGCGGGCCATCCACACCAAGCTGAAACTGAGGGGCCCAAATGATAAACACCAATAAAGGGAGCCTCCTGTATACTGCTGCTTGTGCGCACAAGGGGAGCCTGTCCCTACATCTGAGAGATGGGTTCAAATCCTGCCAAGATGAGGAAGAAGGGAGGAAGGGGGTCTGCTCCTGCACCTGGTCTCCTCTAGGCCAGGGGTTTGCAAAGTGGGGGCCATGTGTCCATCCAGCCAGAGGCCCTCCTCCTGGGCTGGTCACCAGCACAACCCCGCCGTGATAGCTCCTCTCCCTACCAACGACCAGCGATGGTAGCCAGGGTGGTTATACCCGAATCCTGCCCATAGCAGCTGTGCTCTCAACTCTGGGGCAGTAAGCGTTCCCCTCACTTCCTGCTCCCCACTCCCCACATGTTTTGGTGGGAAAGAGGGAGTCAGCAAGGATAGGATGCATTGCAGATCTCATGATGTTATCTTTCCCCCAAACCTGCCTGTCTCCTGAACTTCCTCATTTTGTTCAGCTGAAACTCCCCTCTGAAGTCACCCATGCTCCCTGTATGGCCAAATCCAATGGTTTTTTCAGTCCTCATCCTTCTGGGATCCTCAATAGCCTTTGCCACTGTCCATCACATTCCCTCTTCTCTGGGTTACTCCAGATGATCTGTTGCTTGTAAAAATGTTCCTATGTGCATAGAGGCAACCAGCGTGTTAGCAGGGAGATGACTGGCCTTAGAGCAGGGGAGACCTGGGCCCCCTGGCTGGGGACCCTGGACAAGGGCCACCTCTCAGGCCACTCCTGAAGAGAGGCCATCAGTCACAGAGAAGACACTGGCCCCAGTGGACATGAGAGCTTCCTCCTCCACGAGTGAGTTCCCCATTCTAATTTTATAACTTATTTTAAAATGTTTCAATATTTTAAATATTTTAAAAGGGTTTCAATAAACTTTGAACTCATTTAGAAAATCCCTTTTATTTATAAAAGTATAAAAATGCAATGCCTTCCAAGGAGTTTGAAAGAACAACATTGACGGAGACTGAAGGGTGCTCGCTGAATTTGAACAAAGACCTACCCATGCATGGTTGGTGGATAGGATTGAGAAATGGGAGTCACTCATCCAGTGGGGCAAGGCTTCCCTCTGGGTCTTTGGGCCTGCTCTTCATGGGCTCCAGCCTTTGAAAGCAAGGACCCCCAAATGACCCACTTAGACTCTGTCACTGAACCACTCTATCTCAGCAGGGTTAAACCAAGGTCATCAAAAAACCCTGATGAGTCTCATTCATGTGATTCTCACCCAAAATGCCATGATTGGTCATTTTAGTTCAGGATATTTTAGGGAGAACAAAAATGCTTTTGTACTGTGAATAAATAAAATTTTTCCACAATATTACTTCATCTTTATCGCCTATTTTAAATTTCTGCTTTGTGTAGGTTTTACATTGCATTTGATTGTTAGTACAGCGGTAGGTGTGTATGATTTATAAATAAGTGGAGATCCTCACTTTGTGTGGGCAAGGTGGAAAAGGTTTTCCTGAGGTGGGAGAGGTCTGGAGACAGTACTGACTTCTCAGAAGCCACATGGCTGTTCAGTGACCACCGAGCAAAGGCCAAGCCAGATTCTGGACCGTGGCCCTGGACACTCCTCAAGCCCCAGGGTGACCCAGAACCCACCATCCCACCTCCTTCTTCCTCCCAACTGCTTGTTATGAAGCCTCCAGCTCCCAAATCTTGCCCTTCTCCCCAGGGAGATTGCCTTTGGCAATCAGCACATAGTGAGAAGTCTGGCCTTCAAACCTCAGCCCGGTCACTTCCCCTTTCAGATGACCTGGGTCTAGTTTGTAGCCATCTGTTATATATCTGGCTGTCTACACATTCCCCCATTAGAATGCACACTCCTCCAGGGCAGAGACAGACAGTGTTTTGGCCTTTGTTTGAATCTCCAGGCTTAGCACACAATAGGCACTTAATAAATGTGTGTTGACTGATTGGCTGACCTTAGGCAATCCCTGGGTCTCCATTCCTCCACTGGTGACCCCCGAGGTCTCTTCCAGCTTTATGGTGACCCAGTGGGTCGGGCAGAGATGGCCCACAATGTCCTGCTCACTTGTCAGAGCCTAGAGATCCAGAGACAGATTCAGCATTGGAGGGAGGGGAGGGGGCCCTAATTCACATTTATGCAGCTTAAGAATGACTTCGCCAACCCCAATTTCCCCCCCACTCTTTGCACTAACCCTGAGGCTGGGGGAGACCCCAATGTCTGGAGTCTGTGTGTGGGGCAGCTTCCTGGGGAGCCCAAGTATGTGTATCACTTAGCATCCATTAAGCACCTACTGTGTGCCAGGCACTGTGGCCTGGAGTCAAGAAGATCTGAATTCCAATCAGCCTCAAACTAGACTAGCTCTGGGCCCCCATTTCCTCGTCTGTGGAATGGGGATCATGATAGCAGCACCTCCCTCCCAGGGTTCTGTAAGGACCAAGTGATAAAACATTTCTAGAGTGCTTGCAAATCTATGTGAATGATAGTTATCCTTGTTATCACCCCAGGGTGATGTTGGCTTGTAAAGGGGCTCTTGGACTCCAGCCAGTCTGGGACAGGGCTGAGGAGTCTGCCTCACCCAGGCTTCCAGCCCAGCCACTTGCCCCCATCCCCCACTCCGAGGGCTCAGCACCGCGGACAAGGGCAAGATGTGGGCAGCTGGCTGGGGGCGCTCTTCTGAAGGATCTTTTCCTGCTGAGCTAAGGAGAAAGGAAGACCCCGGCCCCACCCCCACCTGCCGCCCCGCCTGTCCTGCAGAGTGCACAATCAGGGAACCCCAAGAGGCCTGGGCCAGGGTCCAAAGCCCAGCTCAATAACTGACCAGGCTCTTTGCATGACCTTAGGCCGAGTCCCATGGGCCCCTCTCCCCCACCTCTCTGGGCCCCAGGGATAGACAGCTGGGCTTGGAAATACAAAGACCTGAGTTTGAATCTCTCCTCAAATAGTGACTAGCTACAAGGACCTCACTCCAGTCACTCCTCATTCTCAGCCTGTTTCCTGATGGTTAAGTGGGGCTAATAATAGCACCTAGTTCACTCTCAGGAGCAAAGAGATAATGTAGGTCATGTGCTCAAGAGATACTGGTAGTGACGGTTCCCTAGGTCCTTCCCTGGTGCTGACTTCTTCCCTCCCACCCACAAACATGCCCGAATCTCCCCTATCCTGATAAGACCCTCCCTTGAGCCTTCCATCCCCCTATTATCCTATATCTCATTTGCCCTTTGTGGCCAAAGTCCTAGAAAAGGTGCCTCTTCTTAACCCCTTCCAGTCTGGCTTCCCATCCCATCATGCCACTGAAACTTCTCTTCAAAGAGACCAGGGACCTCTTAGTCACCAAATCCAGTGGCTTCTTCTCCATCCTCATCCTCCTTGGCCTCTCCGCAGCCATGAACACTGTGGATCACCCACTTCTAGATATTTTCTTCTCTCTAGGTCTTTGGGACACCTCACCCAACTCTTTCCTGGTTCTCCTCCTCTGTCTCCTTTGCTGAATCTTCATCTGTTCTCCCCTCCCTGCCTGTGGATACCCCCAGGGTTCTGTCCTGAAGGGAGTGGGGCTGCAGGAAGAAGCCCGTTGGGGCTGCTCACATTCTGTGGCTCTGCCTGAAATCAAAAAGGGTGAGCCTAAGGCAAAGTAGGAACTCCAGTGGCTTGGACAGGATCAGTACTGGGTTCCCCAGTCCATCTGAACCCCCTGACTTCTAAGCAGTTCATTATATGCCCAGAAGATTAAGGAATGCACATCAGCCTCCAGGTGTGCATCAATGTCTGCTCTGCCAACCAGGCCCCATAGCCTGCTCAGACTGTCTCTACCCTTTTCGAGTTCCGGATCATCCCTGGGACCTTGGCTGCAAACAAAACAAAAATGCAACGTGGGGGAACAAGAATGGAGCAGAGGCTGGTGCTAACCTCACCAATAATGAGGAGAGAATACCTCATTTATGTCAGTACGTTATCTAATCTGATGCTCACAACAACCCTGGAGTGTAGGCACTAGCATTGCCATTTCACACTTGAGGAAACTGAGGCTGAACCGGAAGTGCCTCAGTGGCCCGGAGGTCTGCTCCCACCCCCGTCCCACCCCCTGCTTGCCTGCCATCAGGGATGAAGTGACTTAGCTGTGAGCACAGCAATACCCCCACTGGGCAGACTGTTGTGACCTGGGTAGGAAGCCACTGCTGTCCCTCCCTGTGGCCAGAGCCGGAATGGGGTGCATGCTCAGGCTGAGCGGACCGCCTAGCCTTCCCACGCCGGCTGCTGTCACGTACGTGGCTCCGGGAAGGCAGGAGAGGTGGGCAGTGGATCTCACCCCCGGAGCAGGCTGGGGTGGCCCTCTGGAGTTAGCGCTGGCTGGGCCACTGCCCAGCGCTGGGGGGATGAGTGCCCTGGCCCCTTGTGCGGCCGGGAGCTTCAGGGGAGGCTTGATGTGGGGAGGTCAGCCCTGCTTCCGTTTGACACTGATGCCCAACTTGGGACCTTCGCCCCTTTTAGCTTTCCGAACTCACTGTTTGCGTTGTGTTCTCAGCCTTTTAAAAGTGACAGAGTGATGCAGCTAACCCGGAGGAAGCCTCCCCTGGTCCCGACCCCACAGCCCTTCCCTGGAGTTGGCTTCTTGTTCAGAATCAGAGACAAGAAAGGGGAGAGGGGAGCAGGATTCCCCAGTCTAGAGACAATGATCCCTCCTGTTGGGAGCCAGGAGCCCGAAAAAGAGCAGTCTGGGCAGGACTTGGCACCATTTTTGTTCACTGGTTGTACCGCTTTACCCTCTGGACGGAGCTCTGGTTTCTAGGGAAGCCCCACCTGCCTGGAGGGAGGGGCAGTGAGTTGGGTGAGGACAGCCAATCGGCCAGCTGCCAAAATCTTGGAGGACGATTGATTGGCAGCTCAGCCTGCCTGTGTCCAGCCCCCACCCGCTGCCCACACGTCCACACCGTAGAGAGGTCATGGCACCAAGAACAGAGCTCACTGGGCGGGACCTTTGTGACCACCTGATCCCACTCCTCGGCCGGAGCAACGGGGGCTGCCTCCCGGTCCTCCCTGCAGAGACCTGTGGTCGGGCACTCTCTCCACCCTTCCTAGAGACCGTGACAAAGAATTCCCAAAGGAAGCCTGAGGAGGTCCAGCGGCTGAGTCAGCCACGTCGGATGGAGCCAGAGCACCTGAAGTGCACACTCCAGGACAATGGGGGCCATGGGGAAGGGGGGTGACCTCACCAATCCTTTCTGTGGTGACCGGACACTCCCTCCCCTGGCGCACCCCTACCAGCATACCAGACAGATGACAGCATGAGCTGGGGATGATAGCAAGGGCTTGCCCTCCCCCCTCTTTGGGGCTGAGAGGCAGAGCCCAGGGAGCCAGAGAAGGAGCCCCAGAGAGGTTGCCAGGACCACCCCCCTCTTTGGCAGCTCCAGGAACAATGGGGTTTGGGGCGACTCATTCCCTGCCTTTCCCAGCAGGACTGCTGAAGTCAGGCTAGAGCCCTGCCTCTCCAGGCTTCCTTCTGGGGAAGGCGACATGACACTTGAGTCTTCTCAGAGGATGGGGCACAGCCAGCTGCCTGTGCCTGGAAGGCCTGGGCCAGGCTCCAGATGGCATCGCAGGGGACCTCAGCTCCCAGTGACATCTGTCGCTGGCCAGGTTTGCAGGCCAATGACAGAGATCAGGGTCCTTCACCCTTCATCCCCAGCTAGGGATCAGTGGGGGCTGCCAGCCTAGAGCCAGGCCTTTCCCACATTCTCATGCCCTCTGACCTCTGACAGGACCCGAGGCTTGGCTGAATACTTGAAAACTCAGACAATAGCCTGGTCAGGCCGCAGGAGTCCCGGTGGAGTGCAGCTTGAGATCCTGTGTTTGCCTCCACCCAGGTCAAACCAATCTGTCAAAGGCCATTTTCCTTTGTGTGCCCTGAGCCCCTTGGTCTCCTCAGCTGATAAGATAGGGTCTCCGAGTACAATGACCCTTTCCGGAGATACAATTCAGATGCTTCTGAGAAAAGAAACAGCCTCACAAGGAGCCTGATGTTGGCTTTTCTGAGCCCACAGAAATGTAGAGGGTCTTGTCCAGCTCGGGAAAGAGAGCCATGAAGGCAGACCTGCACATGGATACCCACGGGCTTGTCAGCACACAGTTACTAAGCTCTTCATTATTCACGATGGGCCCAGCACTGTTTGGGGCCACACAGAAGCAATGCCTCAGAGCCACCATTGTTCCGTGGAGACAATCAATAAGGAAGTATCTAGGATGGACCCACTGGGAGCCAGGATGGAGATGCAAAGACCTAGGAAGTCCCATCAGAGGGGATGGAGGCAGAGGAGGAGAGCCCTTCTTGGGTCAAGACGATCACGTGGATGTGGGGTTC